CGGATCGTCCGTCATCGCTGCGAATTTCCTCCGTTCTCTCCTCTTCTTCTTTTAGAGACCGCTCGACTGCTCTGTCTCCCCTCCTTCCCGACTAGAAATTTATCCCATGGTCCTGATCAGGTTATCCTCATTTGGACCTCACGTCCCAATAAGGTAATACTATCGGGTCCTAGTAAGTCATGTAACGCAACGTGGATATCAGGGCTTAGTAAGGATTCATAGTCTGGTCTTTATTGAGTTACCTTATTACGTTTTTCCTTATTACGTTGTTTTTTTTTTTTCTTTTTTCCCAAATTATGGATCCTGATTATTCGCCACGGCTATATTGGACGATGACATTAGAAATAAGAAATGACACGCTGAGAATTCTTTCATCTCATTTCCAGATAAAAAGATATTCGCGTGAGATAATATTTTAGATCGCTTGAGTATACTTGTAAAATGTTTCGGAAAAGAAACATCAAATGAATGTCATAAGATCACAAAGTATCACAAGGTGACAAGACATAAAATAGTGTTAAAGAGAAAAGTTGCATGTCACGTTAATTTTACAACTAGTTACTGACCGCTAAAAAAAGAATAGTTTCTATAGCATTTTACAAATATATTCAAGTGATCCGAAGTGTTTTTTCAATGCAAACATCTTTATATTTGATGAAATGACACCCAAAAATTGTTTTGTTAAAACTTGATAATGCAAATCATATTAGGTACAATGAATAAGAACCTGATTAACTGAACCATATTATATCATACACTAGGTTGGTACCTTAAGGTCCTAATGTGGACTCAATCATTATAACCTTATAAAGGTTTTCCTTATTCATTTGTCGTTAGGACATTATAAGGACTGACTTACTTAGGATTACCTTTCATTCACTCTATTAGGTCCTTATCAATGTTAGGCGAACCTGATCAAAATTTCTAGTCGGGTTTCCTCTCGTTCTCATCATCCGAGCGCGGTTCGGACTCGGAAGCGCGTGTCGGCAGCTAAGTATATTCCGCCTTGACCTCGCGCGCGTTTTTATATATCAAGCGGCGTTTTGCACTCGATTCCGGCCGATCGCGGTGATTAGTGTAATTGAATAGAACTCGGAGGGATATTACGACGGCCCCTTCTCTTTCCGATGTAATAGCCGTGGAAGACCCAAGCGGACGGACGTTATTGAAAAGCACCACCCGGCTTAGCTCCGCTCCCACGCGAAGTGTCTTCTTCGCGAGAGAGAGAGAGAGAGAGAGAGAGAGGGAGAGAGACTCATGCGAGATTACATAATTTTTCGATCGATCGTTTTCAGACACGCACACGTGTCCGCGATGAGAAAAATGAACGCGTGGATGGAAGGTTGACTATAGCCGCTATATTCGAAGGATATATTGCGCGAAGGACGAATCTCCACGGGTATCTCCTCGCGCACGGAGAGAATTTTTCCGAGAGATATTGACATTCTTCGTACATTGAGAAAGAATCGTACTTGCCTGTTTGCTTGGGCTAGGAGAGACGGGAAATTAATTTACGTGCGACGTAAACGCCATATTGCCGAGTCGAAAATACGAGATACGTATATCTGAGCAAATTCATTAATTTTCACAGTATGCAAATTTCGGTATAAATACAACACGCGCGACGCACGTCGCTCGATAAAATTTTTCTCCCCGCTTCTCTCGCGATCCTCGCCGGGCAGACGCGCGCGGCGACTCGAATTTCGTTGTTTTCTGGCTGGATAACATGGTGCGGTCGTCGATAGAGCGTCAGGTCGCCTCGACGATGACAACGATAGGTTTCTACGGCGCTGCAGAAGCAGCGGCCGCGTATAATTCATTTCGCGCATAGATAACGCGCTGCGGAGCAGATAACGAGCGCGCGTAACCTTCGGACGATCGCTCGCTCGCGCGCGCGCGCGCGTGCACGTAGGAACTCCTCGCGAGCGTGTCGGAAATAATAACGAGTTCGCGTCCCAAGCCCCGCATTCCACGCGCGTCCGATTCACTCGTGGGGATACGTGTGATATTCGACGTGTTTCGCATCGAATTGGCGAATTGAAATACGCGCGGGACTCGGCGCATTAAGGGAGGAATTACATGCGAAAGACCGTTTTCGGAAGGCTGTTTTTGCGAATTTTTTTAACAGAAACGGTAAAATCAATGGACTTGAAATTTTTACAGTATATTCATTGATGTTCAAAGTATAGAATAAATTTTATTCAATCACAAGAACCGATCCAATTTGTAATTATAGATAAAAATGCAGTCACCCGTTTGCGAGCTCTATGTTTGTTGTCGACATCATTTCCGGGCCTCTCTCTCTCTCTCTCTCTCTCTCTCTCTGCTCTGAATCCAAAAACTGAGAAAGATTGTTAAAATATACGGTTGCCATTATAGCCTGTACCAAAATTGAAGGCAGTGAAGCCAAGTTTGGAGAAATAATGATCTGTAAAAGAAAAATATCGAAACTTTTTTAAATTTATAATTATGTATTAAAAAGTGTATGTCAAAAATGAATAAAACAAAATATAACTGTGTTCGAGGTAGAGGCGTGAAAACTACATGTCTACTGTATATTGTGTAAAAAAATTTTAAGTTATTCGGTTCGGTAGTTCTTTGCGTATCGTGTCGACAGTTTAAAAGAAAATGATGTTTCCAGATAAATGCGTTTAAAGTTTTATGCGTACTTTCGATATAGATAGTGACAAATTTATTTTATACTTTGGGCATTAATGAATACACTGAAAATTTCAAGCCCGTTGATCCTACCGTTTTTGTTAAAACAATTCATAAAAATAGCCTTGAAAACGGCTATTTTTTACGAAACCTGCTCCGCGTGTAATCCCCCCCTTAATGCTGCTTAACGCCGATTTCACCGCTGTACCGACGGTAATCTCGGTAAATTCAAAAGCGCGCGTTCTTCGCGCTTAAAAGAAGCAGGAGGGAGGAGGATATGTCTCGATCTTGCGCGCCAAGGTATTTTATTTTTCGCGACAATCCGCCGTTTCTCTTTTTCTCCTCCCAACGTCCTATTTCTTTCACTTCACGTACTTCTCTCACGTACGCGCGCGCGATTATCTCTCGCTTGTAGCACGTGATCCAAACTAATGGGCGAAATGATGCGCGCAAACACCCCTGTCTCCCCCCTCTCGTCCCTCGTTTAATCGTATTATGCTTTCCACTTTGACAGCCGAGAGAGAGAGAGAGAGAGAGACGCGGCTTTCGCCGCCGTGGCTAAATTCGCTCGTGTGGCTGTAATTAGGGCACGCGCTGAAAGTAGGTTTCGGATCCGCGTCTCTGCATGTTACGCAGCCGCGGAATCTCCTTCGCATGCCTCGCAGAAATAACGCGCGTTATCGCGACCGCGCGCGGACGCGGCAAAGTATATTAATTATTCCGGTTATGGCGAGTCGCGCGCACCTCCCTTACCCTCCCCTCCCCCCCCCTCCCCCAGCCCCTGGAGCGTCATAACCGCGTGTCGTTGCGCGTTACATCACAGCGCTATTCCCGTACGACGACGACGTTATCATCGATCCTCATTTCGCCAATCGGCGAGACATCGCGCTCGCGGCCAGAATCACGCGACATTACGAGCGCGTATTTCATCGGCGACGCGCGACCGACGTGCTTCCGGAAGATACCCGACTCTTTATCGAAAAAGAAACAAAAAAATAAAGAAAAGATAGACAAAGAGAGAGAGAGAGAGAGAGAGAGAGAGAGAAATAGCAAGTGTAATTCGTAGTGACGAGAAATTCACAAAGTAAGAAGGACAAAAGGAATACAACAGATTACATAACGTTAATTAAAGCACAACATAACGAAGCGGCCGCGCGCTCCCGTTTCGTTATCGGCTCGCCTTTATCGTGGGACTTTAGCGCGGGTGCGGAATCCCCTGCGGGGGCCGAATTAACATTTCACGAGACGAGGCGGAAAGCCGACGACCCCGTTCGGGTTAGCTTCCGAAATACGAACGACGCCGGCGACGCACGCGCGACTTTCCGCCGGGAGGGTTCGCCGAGGATGGTGCAGTGACCCCGCTAATTGCATCCGCGCGCGTCGCGTAATATCCCGTCCATTCCGCGCGGAGGAATTTTCAGGCCTCGGCGTGTTGTAAGCGGGGGAGGGAGGGAGGGAGGGAGGGGCTCTCTCGACGAACATAACGAGCGCACCAGGTGCGCCCGGCTGCTCGCAATTAGGCTCCCTACAGCGAAGCTGTGTGTGCGCGTGCGTGCGCGAAGGATCGCGGCGCTTTTCAATCTCTCCTTTGATCAGCTTCGAATAGTTCGAAGATAGCTCGCGGATGTACCGCGCGGCGACTCGAAACGCACGGCCGCGATTCGGCCGCGCGAGCGACCGCAAGTCGGAAGTGGAAGAATTTCTCGTCGCGCGAGCAAATTGATCTCGCGCAGATCGGCGGCTCAACGACAGCCTGCCTGACCCTCGTCGGACATGCGTCGCGTAATAAACCCCACGCTGGTTGCTCTTGATTTATCCTCTCTCTCTCTCTCTCTCTCTCTCTCTCGGGATCTCGCGTTCCTGCAGGGACGCATGCCCGTTCCATTGTATCACGAGTCGCGCATTTCGGAACGTTCCACGTCCATCGGTGAGATCAACGCAAATATTTGCCGCTTGGTCTATCGTCGCCGGCTGGCGACCTAATTAGCTCCAAAATTAAATCTCGCGCTGCGCTGCTACAGTCGTTCAAATGGCTTTGGCAATCACGATAAGAATCACGCGGTCCACCTGCCCAGGTAGTGAGAGAGGGAGGGGGGCAGGCAGGCAGGCAAGTTCGGCAACACCTGCGAGAGCGAGCGAAGCTCGAATCCGCGAATACGAACAACATTGTACGTCTCCGTGTGACGACGACTGGTCGAAGCCACACCGGTGGAAGAGTCTCGCGCAAATCTAATCACCGTCGCTCGTCGCGATTGAAGGAAGCCGCGTAAAGTTGCAGTCACGGTGGCCGCCGCCGCCTCGAGTCCGAGTCGCTCGCGATAACCGCGCGTCATCGATCGTAGACAAGCAACTCAGCCCCTGTCGTCGTCCGCGTTATTACGACATTCGCGAGATTGCCGCCGCATCACTGAGTGGCAACTGATCGCGCGACTTGGACACTCGCGCGGAGCGCGCTCGGCCTCCTCCCTTCAACGTGGGATCGTTTCCTCGCAGATTGCAGCGCGAAGGTCGGCAATAGTGACCGCCGAAGCTCATCGTACGCGCGCGCGTGCCGGAGGACAGTTGGACGATCAAATCGCGGTTGGACTCGCAAACGCCAACCGCTGAGACACAGAGTGTCGAGGTACAACACAGCCGAGTCTCGGTTCGCCACGTCGCCGGGTCAAGTCGCGTCGCGAAGTCACCCAGCGACGAGTTGGCGAGTTATCGCGAGAAAGAGGAGAGAGTTCGGCGACCGCGCGAGGAGCGCGAGGACGAAATCGAAAGGACCCCGTGGCCGCGGAGAAAGGCGATCAGAGAATCGCGCTCACCCCCGGATTCTTCCGGAGTTCTCTCGCGGAAGGGAGAGACAAGAGCATCGGCGGAAGAGGAAAAGCGAGAGTCCGCGAGTGATCTCGATGGACAAGCTGTGGTGCGCGCATTGAGAGCGAACGGGGTCCGCTTTCTCCCGTCGGACGACGGCTGCGTTTCCGATATTTGCGCACTTTGCGCAGGAAGCCCGAGTGCTGCGTAGAAGCGCCTCGAATTATCCGGACGGGCGACCAGAGCCACGCTGGCAACCGACATCCTGCCACTCGGCGCGAGATCTCTCTCGCACGGAGGAACCCGCCGCCGAAGAGTTGTGAAAGGAGCGAAGGATCTAGGTGAGACTTTCTCCCGACGCGGTGACAAAGACACGTAAGACGCTCCCGGTCTTGCGAGAGAAACCTGCCGGCCGAAATCCGCCACGCCGCGGTGAGAATCTCGGCCGGGGGAGGAAGAACCGAGTCGCGCGGCCGCAGGAGCGTGTTACGCGCGAGATATTACGTCGTCCGTCGTCGGAATCGGCTTACGAGAGCAACGAGAGGCGAGACGCCTGATTCTCGTCTGAGAAGAGCGAAAATACCATCTCGAAGCGGAGCGCGACATCCGCGACAACCGCCGCGAGCGAAACATCCTCGGACTCGCCACACGCGAACAACTCTCGTCGTTTCTCTCGCAGGAGACCAATTCCACCGCCGCGCACACCTGCGAGAGACCTGCGGTGTCGGTTGTCGCTCAAGGCGACAAGAACCGCGTACCGCGCATCCTAGAATCAACATCACCGTACGCGGCTCGCGGCGAAGCCTCAGCGCGACGACACGCTCCACTTGCCGGTCGAGCTAAGGTCGAGAGCGCTCCGGCGAGAGGAGGGTGGGGAAGTGTCCTCGTCGGAACGGTCGCACGGCAAATCCGGCAGGATAGCTCCGCACGTGGACGCCGCGATGTACGTGACGGAGACGGACGGCGGCCACAAGGTGGCGCCGGCGCCCTCCGCGCGCGTCAAGAGGATGATGGACTACAAGTCGGCGAATCATCATCATCATCATCACCATCAGCATCACGAGGGCGGTGATCGTGGCGGCGGCGGCGGCGGAGGCGGAGGCGGAGGAACGCACATCGCCGCGACGGTGAAGAACACGGTGCGCCGATTGTTGCGGCGCACCAAGAGCCACCGAGATACACCGTCGAGCAACAGCGGCTCGACCAACGCCTCGACGATGACCGCCGCTGTCAACGGCCACGTTGTCGCGCCCGCCTGCGTGCTCACGGCGAGGAGCAAGAACTGCAACGACGCGAGGAGGCCGCAGCCGTCCTTGCCGCCGCCTTCGGACGTCTACTTCAGACGCTACTCCAGGGCGCGCGTGAGACTCCAGGTAAGAAATCGCGCGCACCAGGAACTCCGCTGAGAACTACTACTAGAGTTTTCCTTCGCGGCGCGGCGAAGCGCTGCTTATTATACGCTGCCCTCGCGGCCGCTCTTGCTTGCGGCTCTCTCTAGGGAACGACTGTGACTCCTGCGTCGAGGGGAGTCCTGTCCTAATTGGCTGTCGGTCGATACGATGCCGGCAGCCGCGGCGCGGCGCGAGAGAGCTACTTGAAGGTTTACGTACCATGAGAGAGATACTTGTCGCGGGATGCTGACTCGGAATTATGCCTGAATAGTTTTTGAGATTGTGCGAAGGCACAAGTCGAGCCTGCCGTCAAGTTCCGTTGAACTTGAGGGACAATGGGGACACACAATGGCGTGCGCGAAGCTATACTAGGTATACTTCAGTCGCGTTCTGCGGAATTCCGAATAAAGCGCACACGCTGGTGGGGCGAATGAAATTGGCCAACCGTCGATGGCCGTGAGGTAAATTCTTTTTCGAGCAGTGAAGAGGAAGGGAAATGCGTGGAGACAACCACGTGTGAGAGAAACACGAAAACGGGGGGGGGAACTGCGGAGTTGGCAGCACCAAAGGTGCGAAACTCGCGCGCGGCGTTCGTCGACTTTTACCTTTGCGTTTACCTTTGCCCGCGGATAATTTCTTCTCTTGTCCACTCTCCGAGTAGAAAGAGAAATAGTTGTAACCGAATTAAAAAGTTGCGCGAATGATAAATCGAGCACCCCTGAAGAGAGAGAGAGAGAGAGAGAGAGAGAGAGTGTTATCCTTCAAATTGCCCGTGGATATCGATTGTCCACGAATCGCCCACATTTGTCCCGAATCCCGTTTATCCGTCCGGCCGAGGCGACGTTATCGACGAAACAAATACAAAGCCAAATAATTGCCATCGCGAGCACACCTGGATGCGTTTTTTTTTTTTTTTCTCAATCACGTAATGGGATCGATCTGCGGGATTAACGTAGAGACGCGAGGGGGGAGTGTACGACGAACGTTGTTCGAACGGAATACCGTGTGTCTGACTGCGTTCCAATTCATAGAAAACACGAAAATTGATCGTTGCCACGTTACCGCGCTGCCAACGTACCGAAGCCAAATCACTCGGCGGAGATCGATGAATATGCATGTTCTCTTCTCCTCAGGAGCGCCCAGCGCCTCGCTTTTGAGAACCGAAACTGGGATACGCGTGATCCGCGCCGAAAGAGTCGAAACCAGTTTGCCGTCTGGCGGATAATAGCGAACAAAAAGACGATAGGCCGCTGAGGGCGAGACGGGGAGGGGGAGGGGGGAGGGGAGCACGCACAAGCGAGAAGAAGAAGCAGCAGCAGCAGAAGTCGGGTAAAAGTGGCGATGATATCGCTCGTTTATTTGCGGCAGGTGCGCGCGCGCACAAAATAAGTCGCGCGCGGAGATTGGAAGGCTCGTGTCGAATGCAATCGGCGGCCCCGATAGGAGGCCCTTCGGGCCTCCGATAATTAGGTAGGAGCTGGCCGAGGAAAAGGACTGTCGGCCAGCGAGAAAACGATGGCTCCCCCCTTGCTCTTCGCGAGCGGGACGTTGCGGACGGACTTCTCGATCGTCGTCGCAAACTCGCTCGTGGAACAACAATATTGGCGCAGAGCGTGTTCGTCTTGTTAGTGACTCAGCGGCGGTAGCCTCGGCTGCTCTCCGTCTCCTTTGGCGTCCTCCCCCTCCCCCCCTCCCTCGCGGCAAGTTTTAACAGCTTTGTTTCCTCTCGCTGTTTTTGTCATTCGCCTGCTCGCCGCGACCGCCCGTCGATCGCGGCCGCGCTTTATCGGAAATGTGGAAGCGCGATGTGTTGTTGGGAGAAAGAGACGTCTTTTCCTCGTGGCTCAGTAGTTTATCGTTAACCCTTTCATCGCTAAATTAACTTCCCTTGAGAAAATTATTAAAATATTTGGGGGTCCTGCGTTTTTTGGATCGCTGATTACGAATCTTTTGAGTAAAATAATATTGATGGTATGGATAAGACGGAGATACGCAATGAAAGAACATAGGAAAATAGAGCTAAAAAGTGCAAAAAAATCAAATTTCGGCCGTTTTTGTAGAAATATTCATTTATAAAAAAAAATCTAACCTGCGAAAAAATATTGAAAAAGAATATATGTTTTTGTAGATCAGAAAAATATTTGGTGAAAATTTCAAACCTCTATATTCAATACTCTCCGAGGAATCGATTTTTCCCCAAAAAAAGCATTTTTTTTTTTTTTCAAATTTGATTTGTTATAAATAATCACAAATGAGTAATTGGGTACAAAAACCTATTGGAGTATGTTGAACAACTATTCTCAGTTGTCTGGAAAAAAACTCAAATCCCCGATTAGTTCTTCAAAATTGTGTGACTTACAACGCAAAATTGAATCAAGAAATGGTGGGAAGTATACTTCTCACTAACAGGGTGAAAGGGTTAAATATAATGCAATTTTGACGTACAGCACGTGTCGATCCTGAGAATGAGATCATTCGAGCCTCCTTGGAAAGCAGTTCGATTCGAGGAAGGATAATTTCGTGCGTTTGCGCGCACCGTAGTCGCTAATTTGTTTCTTAGAATCCGGCGCATATCCTGGCGAAGAGATTCTAATCGCAGGTTACATAACACCGAGCGCTAATTAATCTTCCGCACCGATAGCCATTAGAAAGCCCGAAGAAGAGTAATCGCGTTGTGTGCCGGGTAAATTAGCGACTTGTTCTAGGAAAACGAAAACGTAAGAAAATTTCTCAACGAGACGCGAAGATTCCTGCTTTCCGCATCGCAGTGACTCGTGAAGTATCGCCTAAGTGAGGACCGAATACTAAAAAAAAAAACCCGACCGCTCCTTGCATTATTGATTCGCGCAGAAGCGCTCGTCGAACGAGCTTAATTAATCGTCGAATATTTAACTCGCAGACTTCCGGCTTCCGAGTTTTTTTTCTTCATACAGCATAAACAGCGATTATATTAAAGCAAATCGATGGTGACTAAACCTCGCGTTTAATTCAGGATACTCAGCAGAGCGACGACACGCCGAAAATAAAGACTCAGTCGTCCTTTCCGCGAACTCTATTCGCGGATGGACGATATATGATATCCAATCGATCTCCATTATGAAGTGAAACAATCTTTTTCTGCTACATGCGAACGCTCGTTCGACGCGATCCTCAGAGATCCGTTTTGCCAGACAGATTACTCTGTCGGCAAATTTACAGCAGATTCCCACTCAATGAAAATCTCATTCTCACAATCCTCGGGCCGGGGGCGTCGTCAACGGCCGAGGACGAATCTTAGCGGCGCTCGCCGCTAGTCGGGCGGCGTCGAAGCGTCGGCTACACCGGAAATCTCGACGCATTGTTATTCTATATGTGTGCGTTTCAGCCGCGCCAAGCACTTTCCAATATTGCGATAGCCATAATAAGTCGCGGGCGGACGAATGAAGGAAAACCACCGGCGAGAAGTAACCGCGCGCGCGCGCATTCCGCGTCTGTCAATCGCGTAATGTTCAGCGTTTTCGCTGCTTTCCTTTCACTGTCGAGCACGCCGAGCGAGCGAGCGAGCGAGCGCACCGCGCTCTGCTCTTGCCTGCTGCGTGTGCGTGCAAGCTGGCGACGCACCTTTGCAGCCTGCACAGGTGCGCGCGTTCACGCGAGTCCGTATTGGCGCTGCCGCGAAGGCGAAGGCAAAAGGCGAAGACGAAGACTGTGGACTCTCGTTCGCTGACTGACGAGCCCCGTTTGTTCGCATCAGCGCCTCTCACTCAAGGCTCCGATTTTCTTCACGCGGCCTGACGGTACGAGAAAAATCTGCACACGACAGTGCGTTCGATTCCAGCGGCGCGCGTGATTCACGCTCGCAGAATGTCGCTCGACTGCGGCGTAAATCGCGCGGCGATTTTCGCGAAAACGTGGATCTCGGAGACTCTCGCCGGCGGAACTTTTCCGGCGATTAACACGCGACCCATTTCCACGGGAACGGTCGGGGAATACGTGGTGCGACGACGAAAAGGTCGATTTGCTTCCTTCAGTTCCTTCTTCGCAGGCGAGGGTAAACATGTTTACCTCTTTCCTCCGCCTTTCTTCCTGCTCCCTCTGAGCTTCGAAGCTGCATCGAAGATATTCAGCGTAAGTGCGAGTGATTTTTGTAAGGAATCACAAATCGCTGTTTGGTTCTCGACCCTCGCGCTCTCGGTGCTTCCAGAATCGTCGTCGGCGAGGATTCTCTCTCTCTGCTAAAGCACGAGCGAGCGTTTCTCGCGATCTTTTCCGGATCTTTCTCAAAAATCACCTCGGTCGTGCTCCGTCTCGGTGCTCGACTCGCGCTTCGGATTTTCTGCGGATCGGCTGCCGCGGAACTTTTTCTCGCAGGCGTGAGTCTCCGCTTCGCAAACCTTGAGCCACGTGAGCGTGTGTGTCACCCGGAAAAAGGTCAGGTGCAGTGTCTAGAATTTTCTCGAGCGTTCCGTGCCGCGGACTTTGAGATTCAATTACGCGCGCGCAAGTCCCCGTTGGATTCTCACGCGCGCGCGCAGTCGGCAGTCCCGCCGGCATAATTCGCGCGGCTCCTGCGGCACTCGTCAATTACGGCCGAGGTGTAACTAATCGAATAACTGAATGTCTGAAGGAGAGAGCCGCCTTACAAATTCCATTACATCGGCGAGTTACGGCGGATGAGCGCGCGTGCGCGCTCGCGCGCTCAAAGGACCACGCGGCGGTGGGGGGGGGGGGGCGGAAGTAGCGGCCGTGTTCCTTTCAGCCGACGGTTTTCAGACGACGGGTAAACCCCTAACGAGACATCACCGCTTCCAATTACGCCGCTGAAAAAGATTTTCACTCCCGGCCTGTGCTCTCGTTCTTTTCACACCGCGTCGCTGCCGCGCGCGCACCGTCGTGTAATTCTGTCGCTTGCGCGTGCTGCTACCTGGCGGAAACGCAGGGAACTCGCGCTACATTCGGTCTGTTTAATGATCCGTGAGACACGTTTGAGAAGCGTGTTGTGC